CGTGGGCGGCTGCTGCTCTGGTCCTGGGCATAGCAAGCGGCGGCGCCAAGCTCCTGGGGTTGGTGCAGTCGGCGGGGGCAGCCCGGAACGTGAGGAAGTCGGTGCAGGTTACAACAGTGAGGATGAATATGAAGCAGCTGCGGCACGCATTGAGGCTATGGACCCTGCAACCGTGGAGCAGGTAAGAACAGGAGGGCGAGGACTTCGCAGGTATGGCAAATGGTACCAACAGAGTGAGGAGGTACCTCACAAATGTTATTGCAGTTGCTCCAAGGGACCTAGGCCCTGCTCTGGGGACTGATGTTTTCTGATGGGAGAGGCATGAGACCCCCGTGTTCTTTCACCCAAGACTTGGGGTTAGAGGTCTCAGATAAAGTGAGAGGCTTAAAGATGGGGTCTGAGGCCTCTAGGGCACATAGTTGTTATTCCAGGCCCGAAGACCTCATATGTTAGAATTTGGAATTCCATGGAGCCCTTCCCTGAAAGGGAGGTCTTGTGCGTCTCAGGTCTCTCCGATGGACTCAGGTCTGTATTTAGTGTCTTGAGAGCTCTTTTTCTCTGGAATAAGAGTCCTAAGATTTCCTCTCCAGGGAACTCAAGGTGATGACCTCAGCAGTGGGCCCTGAGCATCCCCAAAGAACTCAACCTTCTAGGAGTTGAAGACGTTCTGAGTATAGGGTGACTTTCCTCTCCTTTGCAGCAGTGGAGCCTTAGACCTCAGAGTTCTTTGGCCTACCTTCAAGAGCCTGACACTCCCTCTTAGAATTGAGGATTTCTCACACACATGATTTAGAGAGAGGAGTTTCCTTCTCTTTCTTCCAGGGATATAGGATGTCTCTTAGGAAGATGAGATTATCTCTCCCTGGGGACAAGTGCTAAAACCAATATTCAGGGACTAGAGGTTATTTCAGTATTTGATATTTCTCTTTCTGCATGACTGGGGTCTGTGTTTTCTGTCAGTGGCCTCAGACTTTTCTCCTTGGGGGCCAAGCTCTGAACCTTTTTCCAGAATTTTAAGCTTCTAAGTAATGGGCTCTTGGCCCTTCAGTTCCCACCAAATCCTTGAGTCTTTTTTCCTTTCTCTTCAGGAGAATGATCCTCAAAGCTTTGTATACTGGAGCCTAAGGGTTAGATTTATGGTTATGGAATGAGGTTTTTAGAGACTGGATCTCAGGCCTCCTCAGGGGTCTGACACCCCATTGCAGAGATTCTGGGCAAGGTGAGTTCTTTAAGAAACCTTTCGCTTTGAGGCACTGGTGTCTGAGTGTTCCTGGGGCTTTGAAACCCTTCCCCCCACAAGAATGTGAGACCCTTCTACCTCAATTACAAGAACTAAAATGTACCTTGAGAATTAATATCCCATATTTTTCTGAGGGTCTCTTCTTGTCAGGAACATGTGACCTTGCCTTGGGAACACCACTTCTTGGGACAGTGTGCAGTGTAGGGTTCTATGGGTGAGGTTTGAGGCCTCTGTGGGTCTAACCCTACCTTTTAAGTGAGATCCACTCTACTAAGGACACTTGAGGTTTCCCTTAGGGTCAGGAGACCCATGTATGCCCCAGTGACTGCATATTTGTAGACGAGGTCTGAACTTCCTCAAGGAACTTGAGGTGCCTCTTGGGGACAGGATGACTCACCACCAAAAGTGAGTCCTGACATTCTTGTGAAATGTAGGGTCCCTCAGGAACAGGGTCTTGAGGTCCCTCTCATGAGCATTTGAATTTTACCTTAGGTGTGTCAGAGTCTGATCCCCACCTTAAGATTCGAGACCTCTGAGAGTACTGATGATCATCTCACTTTAGACATCATACATATGCCTCAGTCATAGAGACCTTTTAGGAATGTTGTTTCCTGCTTTGGGGATTTGGCCAGCCAGATTCCCACTCTGGGGTCATGGGTAGGTTGGGATCTGAGGAAGAGTGTGGGCCTCTTCCCAGGGGCCTGAGCTGTTTCTCTTCGGGACAAGAGATCATTTCCCTTGGGGATGGAGGCCTGGGCACTACTCCCACGCTACCCCCAGCATGAGGCTGTTCTACCACAACAGGTGTTATTCTCTCACCTGGGAGAGGACAGGAGGTCATCAGTGTTGCTAAATGGAAGGACCTGGGTGCTCTTCAGGTCAGGTTAGGCCTCCTTAACCCAAGCCCCTCTCAGGTCAGAGCCAAGAAAATACCCCTACCTTCTGGAGAAAGGTTAGGTCCTGGAGCCATAAAATTTGAGGCTTCACCTCCGACCCTGGGAAAGATTTCCGATGTTTTTCAGCTGTGCTTCTAGGGGCCAAGAAAATAAGCTTGGAACTCCTTTTGGTAAACATTTCTCTTCATAGAGACAGGAAAGGGATTGGGGCATGTCTATTACTGGGAAATTCTTCTACATACTTCTCCCCCTTGGCTCAGGTAAATCTCTGTATTTCCCAGGAGCCAGGGACTGGCAGCCTTGGAACCCCCTATTGTTCCCTTCATAGCCATAATTTTTGGCAGAGCAAATTACCTGGAGTCACAGGGTCAGAACCAGGAGTTGTTTTTTTCTCTCCTGGTTGAGGTAAAGTCTCTCCCTCCAGTTACAGGGGAGAGATCTGTCCACTTCTTGGGAAGAAAAGAAGGAAGAAGATGGTTCTCTTCTCTCTGCCTCACCTGGCCCAACTTGGGACTGTTTGGAGATGAGAGGAGAGGAGATACTTTCTGCCACCCAAATCCTGGTCTGGAAGTGTCACCAAAGATGGTTTATTTTTTTAATTTTTTTTCTTTTTTGAGACAGGAGCGTGCTACATAGGTCAGGCTGGTGTCGAACTCACTGTGTAGTCCAGGCTGGCCTCAAACTTGGAGGTATCCTGCCTCAGCCTCCTGAGTGCTGAGATTACAGGCATGGACCACCCAAGGGTGTTTGTATCCTGGAGGCCCCCTAGTTTGACCCCTTGGCCAGAGGGGGATGTTGAGAGGGAGTCTTGATGGTAAATCTGGTCCAGGTTCTGCAAATGTACCCCTACTCTTTAGGACTCTTTCTGCCACTTGGGTCTAGGTGCTGGGGAGGCTCTCCTTTCCCAGGCATGGCTGTCTTGCTGAGCCTGCTCTCTGAAAAAGATGGCTTACAGGCATCCTGAGTTTGGGAACCCCACAGAGCTCTTTGAGAAGGGGCATGCATGGATGCTGAGGTGGTGGAAGAGCCTGGGCACCATCCAGCACAGGTTCCATCTCTGGGCCTGTCAAGTTTTGCTGTGTGAATTAGATTAGATTCTGCCTGTGCTTTGTGTACCTCAGTATCCTTGATGCTTAGATAAGGGGCTGTAAGGTGCTGCTTAGCTCTGGAATTTTAGGGAACTCAGTCCAAAGCCCTCTGTACCTGGAGGTGACAGTGAAAAGTGGGTGTCTTCTGAGGAGGAACTGGATGCCTTCTCCTGTCTCCTCTCTCCCAGCCGTCCAGGCAGGCTTAGCAGGCAGGACAAGTGACCTCTGCAGGTTTGATGGGTGGCAATTTTTGTGACTAGCTGTGCTTTGGTGAATAAGCTCAGTGGGATTGCCTTTAGAGAGCCTGTTTGATAGTGTGGAGAGTTGAATGCGGAAATTTGGACTCCAGAGCTGGCCACATTTGAGTTGAAATGCCAGTATCTCCTGCTGAGCTGTTTTATGGCTGTAGGCAAAATACTCCCCTATTCAGATTCCTTTTTTTTTGTTTTTTCTGAAACCCATCCCAGCCTAGGATTATTGAGTGATATCTGACTTTGCCCGTTTTGGACTTTGGCTGGTTCTTCCTCTGGCCTGAAACGGGCAGTTTGTCCCCAGACCATCTTGGATCTTCCTAAAAGCCTTTGTGCATCTCTAGGAACCTATCATTTGGTATCTAGGAATCTGCCAATTCCTTGAGCTCTCTTTACACTATCTGGAATTGGGTAGCTGGGGGTTGAGGGGAGGTGGGATGGTCCTTACCTAGGCAGTGTAGATTTGTGCCGTTTCTGCACTAAGCCTTTTTTTTTTTTTTTTTTTTGTACTTTACACTATCTGGAATTGGGTAGCTGGGGGTTGAGGGGAGGTGGGATGGTCCTTACCTAGGCAGTGTAGATTTGTGCCGTTTCTGCACTAAGCCTTTTTTTTTTTTTTTTGATTGTGGTGGTTGTTTGTTTGTTTGTACTGGGGATTGAATTTAGAACCTTGTGATTGCAAGGCAGGTGCGGTGCCACTGAGCTAAATCCCCAGCCCTGTTTGTTTGTTTGTTGTCTCTACTAATTCCCTGTTCCTTACTCCCCTACCCTGTATGAAAGTTTTAAGTGGAGTGTGTTGGCTTTAGGAAACGTGTCACCTTTTTAGGGATGTGCTATGACTTTTTTTTTGGTACTGGGAATTGAACTCAGGGCCTCTCACTTGCCAGTTAGGTGCCACAACACTGAGCTACATCCCCAGCCCTGACATTTTTGAGGTAGGGTGTGCTATGTAGTTCAGGCTAGCCTTGAACTCACTACATATGTAACCCAGGCTGGTCTGGAATTCTCTGTGATGCTCCTACTTCAGCCTCCTGAGTGCTAGGATTACAGCCATATGCCACTACATCCAGCTCTCTATTCACAGATTTAAAGTGTACAAATCAGTGGCTTTTAGTATAGCAATAAAATTGTGTGTTAATCATCATAGTTGATTTTAGAATATTTTCCTCATCCCAAAAAGAAACTGCATCTTTTAGCTATCACCTCCTAATCACCTCATCCCCTTCCAGCCCCTTCCAGCCCCTTCCATCCCATTTGTCTCCATGGGTCTTCTATTCTAGATACAAGTGGAGTCATATAATATGCAGTCATTTGTGACTTGGCTTCTTTTGGTTAGAATAATGTGTCCAAGGCTCATTATGATGTAGTATGTATCAATACTTCATTCTTTTTTATTGATGAATAGTAGAATCTTGGGTGTTTTTTATTTTGTTTTGTTATATTTGGTACCGGGGATTGAACTCAGGACCTGGTGCTTGTGAGGCGCAGGCGCTATGCCACTGAGCTAAATCCCCAGCCCAGGACTTGGGTTTTTAATCCCCCTAGTGGCTCAGTAATAGATCAGGACCTTGCTCTTTTTCCTTTCTTCTGTCCAAAGGTCTTCTTTTTGTCCTTCGGGAGCATTGTGCTTGTCTTTCTCTTTGGATAGGTTGTCTGTGTATTACCCATGGAGCCAAGCCAGTGTTCCTGGGTGTTTTGGAGAAGGGGGTAGTCTTGGCAGCAGGGTTGCTGGGACAGAGCTGTGAGTCCCAGAATACTAAACACTTCTTGGCTATGGGCTCTAGGAAGACATCTGTCCACTGCTGCTGCCATCTTCCCCCACCCCCTTTCCTCTTCAGTGGCAGCTCATTCACCCACAGGCTGGGTCAGCAGCTTCCCAGGCTGGGAGAAGGGATTCCAGGCCCCTGCTTCCTTAATTCTAATCCCCTCCCTGGGGAAATGCTAGGAGGGCAAATTGTACAGACTGGGAGTCATGCCATATTGTCTCAGTCATGAGGTCCCAGAGCTCAGACACTGATGAGTGCTACAAGCGGGTTATATTTGTTTCCAGTGGCTGTTGTGGCAAGTTACCATGAACTGGGTACTTTAAAACAACATTGTATTTAATCGTGGTTCTGGTGGCCAGAAGTCCAAAACCAGTTTCACTGGGTCAAAATCTGGGTGTTGGCAGGACCATACTTCTGTAGAGGATCTGGGGAGAATCCAGTACTTTTCTAGCTTCTGGTGATTGCCACCATTCCATGGTCTGTGGCTGCATCAGTCTAGCCTGCCTGTGCCTCTTGTCTTCCCATCAGCTTGTCCTCTGTATGTGGGGTTTTCTCTTCTATCCAGTCTCTCTGTCTCTCTCTTAAAAGGACACTCATGATTGCATCAAGGTCTTGCCTGATACTCCAAGGTAACCCCCCCATTCAGGATACTTAACTTAGTCATGTCTACAAACATACCTTCTCATTCTAAGGTAATATTTACAGGTTCCAGGGATTAGAGTCTGCTATCTTGGGGTGATCATTAGTCTACTATCTATAAGGGAGGGGAAGAGCACTTGTTGCGCAGTCTCTTACTAGGCAAAGTTCTATAATATTGTAGTTGAGTCTGGCCAGTAGCCCTGTTACTGAGAGGCTTGTTAGCCCCATTACACAGATTGGAAAACTGGCTCACAGCAGTTCCATCAAATGGCTAATAATTGGCGGACCTGGATGGCAGTCTTAGTTGAGTTCCACAGCAACTTTACTTGGACCTGTAGACCATTAGGTTGTAGCCTTGCCTTGGTTCCTGTGATACCCTGGTATCAGAGAGCTCTGCCCAGACTTTGTGTGAAGGTTTAGAAATAGGGAGGAACTCTCCACAGGCTTAGCAGTGAAGTTGGACAGTTCTGAGCCTGGGCTTGACCTCCTTTGTTCAGAGCAGTGATGTAATTTAAACTCACCTACTGCTGGGTACTCTCCAGCCCCAAACCAGCACTTCTTAAACATCATTTTCTTCCAGAGCGCAAATTCTTTAGGCTGTTGGTGCCAAGGCCAGTGGGTAGCTGGTGGTCCAGCAGCTAGTTCCAGGCCTAGATGCCAATGTGGCAGCCATAGGACACAAATCCTCCTTTTGCAAGGGGTATACTCAGGCCTCCTTCAGTTTTAGGGACAAACCCAGATTTTCCCAGGACCGGCTGCTAGGCCTGTCTCTGCTGTGCTTCAGGGGACTTCCTCTCTTGCCACTACATTAGATTTTGCTTGTGCCTAAATTTCAGCTCCTGTATTCCTTTATAAAGTGAGGATACTGTTTCCTGCCACTTGGGCTGTAATAAAGACAAATAAATGAAGTCACCCTTTGTATCTGGCATCTGGTGTACAGCAGGCTTTTAGTTAATAGAAGTTCTTCTTTCTTCCTGGCCTATCCCTGCTTTCATGCCTAGTCCTACTCAGGCTGTTGGCTGTGGTGAACACATTGTTGGACTCTAGGCATTGCTATTACTTTGTAGCAGAAGTAGCTTCACTTTTTTGTTTTGCTTTTTGAAACAGGATCTTGCTGTGTAGTTCAGACTGGTCTTGAGTTCATTATGTACCACAGGCTGGCTTCAAACTTGTGGCGATTCTCCTGTCTCTTTCAGCTTCCTAATTGCTGGGATTATAGTCATGTGTACCATGCTTGGCACTGAAGTGACTTCATTTTTCTCATCCAATTAACAAACATTATTGGAGGTTTTAAGTTTGTTGGTCCTTTGCTCAGGTGCTACTCTTAATGGCAGGCTCAGGTCCATTCCTCTGTTTCACAGCACCCCATGTTCCCCTCTTTCGCTGGCCTGCACACAGTGTGTGTGGTCATTTTATTCCCCTGCACCTCCCTGAACAGTTTGTGATTTTATCAGGGGTAGAGAACTAGTCTGATTCATTTCTTTGTCCTCATTGCCCAGCCCAGGATCTGACTCATATCTTTGTTAGGTGGATAAGTAGGAGGCCCTCCCCTCTATTTTAATTTTATTTTTTGTAGTACTGGGGATTTGAACCTAGGTCATTGAGCATGCTAGGCAAGCACTGTGGCACTGGGCTATATCCCCATCCCTTTTTATTATTTTAAAATTAATTTTGAGATAGAATCTCCCCAAGTTGCCCAAGCTATCCTTGAACTTGTGACCCCTTCAGCCTCACTTGTTGCTGCAGTCATAGGCTTGTGCTGCATGCCAGGCCCCCTTTGCACCCTCTTTGTTTGCATTTTTGCCTTTCTCTCTTTCCCAGGTGTGAGGACAGGAGGTTGTATGCCCTTCTTTTTTCACAGTGCTTCCTTGTGTAGGGTCTAGTGCTGTGGATACGGTTGCACTTCCTCATAGGTCACTCCTGCCTGGGGTGGGCCCCAGGCTTCTGGGAGGAGGCTGACCCTATAAGGTGGATAGGCTTGGGGGTAACTGGCTGGAGTGTGCTGGTCCCCAGCCTCCAGGGTAGAAGGGCACCTGGACTGCTGGAATGTTGTACCCAAGCAGGAGTCTTGGTGCTGCCCGTGGGAGCCCATTAACCACCTCCAGGTGCCTTTGTCATCTCTAGGAATCTAGTCACACCCTCCTGGGCTGTGGACCTTGATGATGGAGCTAGCTAGGTATTCTCTTGTCTCCCTTCATCCCCTCCTGTCCAGCCACTCAAGGATTTTTGAGGGTCTGTCAGTCATACTTCATCCCTTTCTATGCTGGCCTCTCCCTATCTCCATTTGGTGATATCAGTATATGGTATGTCATTAACAAAGATGCTTCGGGTCTTACAACTACTATATAAATCTCTTGACAATTCTGTCAAGTAGAATATATAGCCCTCATTTGATGGGAAACAGGCTTGGTGTTTTTAGCAGTTTACCGCGAATCATATAGCAAGGCAGTGACAGCTGGGGTTGGAACCCAGAATTCTTGCCCTCTAAACTTTTGTTTTGCTTTGAGACAAGGTATGTAGTTTAACAATGTAGTCCAAGCTGCCCTCAAATTCACCACAGTCCTTCTGCCTCTGACTCCTAAGTGCTAGGATTACAGGCTGACCCACCACACCTGGCTTGGCTATTTCCAAACTTTGTTTACTATTCTTCCAAAGATTCTCTCCCTTGGCTTCCCTGGGGGATGGGTTCCACCCTTTGCCTGAGCTGGGGACAAATGGCCTTCAAGAGAAGTGAGACCCTCTGTGTGGTTAACATTTGATTGGATCTTAGAAATTCCCTGGATAGGGTGGTGTCCCCATGGAGCAGGCTTGGGATCATATACTGTGCGTAGTTTGCAGCCCTGTTGCTGGATCAGACGGTCTGATTCTGGTGGCCAGCAGAGGGCGCAAGGGGCCTGGGAAAGGTCTGCTGCTCGGATTTGTTTTGAAATGGAAAATGTGTTTTAAGTGGTACATGGTCATTAATTTTTTAAAAATCCCAAAGTACACATTTATACAGGTTCATTTGACTTGAGTCTTGGAGGTCAGATATGCTTTGGAACTTAGAAAACTTTGAGAATTTAGAAAAGTGGCTTGTGTGCATACTTTGTATATGTGCTGCCAAAGCGAGCATTGTGTGTATACTTTGTATTATGTAACACTCCAGCAGGGTCTGAGTCAGCACCTCCTAATCATTGAAATTTTTGAGTACTCACCTCTAGATGGGATATCTGGGTACATGTCAGTTCTGATCAGGTTGTGATACAAAATGAGACAGATAAAGACTGAGCTGGGCATGACGGTGCTTTACTTGTAGTCCCAGCCCTCTGGTAGGCTGGGACAGGAGCATCAAAAGTTTGAGCTTAGCCAGAGCAACTTAGCAGTTTAATGAGACCCTGTCTCAAAAATTTAAAAAATAAGATAAAAAGGGCTAGGGATGTAGCTCAGTATGAAGACCCTTTATTTGGTGCCCAGTGCCACACACATACATACAACACAGACTTTGGATTTTCCTTTCTTTTTTTATTTTCTGATGTCTTTATCTTTAAGAGTTTTGATGGTCAAACTTTTTTTAGGTTTTTGGATTTGAGACAAGGGACTGCAAGCACAAGGTCTTGAGTTGGATCCCCGGTACCAAAAAAAAATTAAAAAACAGAAAGAAGGCAAAAGAAAATCATCTGTGACACTAGTTCTTAGGGATAATACTTTGGGGCTTGGACTTCCCAATTTTGCATATATTGTTTGTATATGTACATATTTGTGTTTGTTTTTTTGGTACCAGGGATCAAACTTGGGACCTAGGGCTTGTGGGGCAGGTGGCAGCACCACTGACCTAAATCTCCAGCCCTATGTACATATTTGTAAACATACATGTATATGTGTTCAGTCATAAATGAGATCATACTGTGCACACTTTTTGTCTTGTACAATGCATTTTAAAATTGCCCAGCTGTATGTGGAGCTCAGGATCTAGATTGTTACCAGTCATTCCCTCTTCATCTCCCCTCGGTGGAACTCCTTGAAGTAGAGCCAGATTCTCTGCCCAGGTACTTGTCAGGTCTGGGCCCCTGACTACCTTGACTAGAAACTGTGAGGTCAGCAGGAGTCAGAAGGCAGTTGAGGCCCTTCTGGGATCAAGACTTTTCCTAAAAGAAAAGGGTCTCCTACTCTATATGCATGGAGTGGTGAAGACAGGCCAAGAACTTTACCCTGTCCAGTGTCCTCATTGCTATTCATTGGGCCCATCGGGAGCTTAAAGGCAGGACACTGGGGAGGGAGTACAGGCCTTCCCTGTTGCTGACCCCCACCTCTTTCCTCCAGCAGGAGCATTGGTTTGAAAAGGCCCTACGGGACAAGAAAGGCTTCATCATCAAGCAGATGAAGGAGGACGGCGCCTGTCTATTCCGGGCTGTAGGTGAGTCTCTGCCTCAGCCCTTAAGGGCCTAAGGCTGCCTCTGAGCTGAATTCCTGTTGCCAGGAATAACCCCAGAGACCTGGTTGAGGCAGAGGTAGCTGATGTCTTAAGATTTTGTGGCTCCAGCCTTAAATTAGTATCCAGCCTCTAGTTCTGGGTCATAAGACAGTGGTGGTGTAGTGATAAAATAATTTGCTTAGGGACAGATTGCTCTTCTGGCATTATTGGAAACCCTGTTAATTCTCCCCCAAACTATTTGAGGATAGGGATTATTATTGCTTCCCTTTGTCAGATGGGAAGAGTAGCTCAGAACTAGAGTGACTTGGCCAGGGCCACTCACAGATAGTATGAGACAGAGTTGAGATTCAGTCATTGGATTAGATTGTCTGAAGCTCATGCTCAGCCACAGCACACTGCTGTCATTCTGGGGCATTGGTTACCTGTGTTTACACTTAACTCAAACCCTGTCTCTGGTGTGTCTGGGGGTGGATCTCCATATTCTCTTCCCCTCCCCTCTGTGCGTGTGTGTGTGTGTGTGTGTGTGTGTGTGCGCGCGCGCGCACGTGTGGGGGGAGGGGAGACAGAAACTAGATCTTCACAAATTTCTATTATAGTGTTTTACACAATTTTTTTCTTACAGAAGAGAGAGAACATACTGAACCCTTATGTATCCATCATCCAGCTTCAAAATAGTTAACACATAGCTACTGTTTTCATCACTGCCCTACCCACTCTCACTCCCCTGAAGCAAGAGTATATTTAATGCAAAACCCTGACATGGGATCATTTCACTCATAAATATTTTTGTACATTTCTCTGACAGACACATGCTCTATTTTAAAAATATAATCAAGATGCTATCGTTGCACTAACAGAATTAATAATTTTTTATACCATCTGCTAGCCAGCCTGAGCTAGATCTTTGAGGCCCTTCTGGTTCTGAATCTGACCCAACAAGTAGTCTTCAGGTCCCATGTTGGTGTGAAAGGGAAACTGGGAAATGTAACCTGTTCCTCTCATTGGCTCTGCTGCCTCCCAAGGTAAAGTACCCCCTGGTAGGAGATTTGAGCTGGGAGTCAGAAGTAGCTTCTAGTTCTGGCCCTGACTCCTAATTGCTGTGTGCCACTTGGCCTCCATTTCCCCATCTGAGGGATAATGGGGCTCCCAAGGGACCTTAAGTTCCTTCTGAATCTGCTTTTCACCTTGTCCCCCACTCCTTGCAGTGTCTCTGATTCTTGGTGTGACCTTGGGAAAGCAGCTGTTTTTTCCTGAGCCACTTTCCTTAGCTGTAAAGTGGGGCTAAAAGACCCTGCTGTTAAGCCAGGCATGGTGGTGCATGCCTGTAATTCCAGCACTTGGGAGGCTGAGGCAGAAGGATCTAAGGTCAAGGCCAGCCTAGAGTATTTAGTGAGGCCCTATCACAAAAAAAGTAAAGAAAGAAAAAATAACCCATAATAGTTTAATGAGGTTACTTAGCCAAATCTCTTTATTGCCTGACACAACAGAACAGAGATGGCAAACCTTTTAGAGCTTTCAGAGATACAAATCACCCGCTGTGGCACAGGTGCCATAGGTTTGCCACCACTTTAGTAGAATGATAGCATTGGTAAACCCTGGATGCTGTGGTACCACCGAGCTACACATGTTTAAGAGGTGGGCTCTGTTGGGCTAGAAAAACTCCCAACTGTTCTGTCCCTGTGCTTCATGTTCTCTCTGTAGAGAAAGAGCTGATTTGGAGGCATCTTGGATAAAAGTCAGAGAAAGAGCAGATGGAGTCCTGTTAGGGACTAGTTGTGTTGTTGAGACCTCAGGCAGAAGCAGGGCTGCTGGTAGAATTGTGTATCTGAGTCTGGATAGTCACAGGCAGACCTGGAGGCCAGTGAGTGCCTGGCGTGTGCAGTAACCCTATCAAGAGGCAGTATCTGTGCATGTGTGTCTAGCTAGCTATTCTCTCCAAATAGCCCAATCTCCCCCAGTGGGGCCTTCCAGTAAGGGGCCACTCTTACAGGAAAAGCTGACCACAGCAGGTTGAAGGCCTTTCCTTATCAGCACTATGGCTACACATTTCCCCTGACTGGGCTGCCCTCAGCTTTTCTCTATAAAACCTCAGAAGTCTCATGCCCTCTGCAGGAGTACATGGCCCCTGGTCTCTAGGCCTCATTTAGAGGTTTCCCTGGTGCAGAGTACATAATACATGCGCTTGGGAAGGGGACTTTGTCCCCAGGCCTCTGTGTCCCCCTCTTTCCAGCCCAGCCTCTACAGAGACAGATGGCAGTCAACTTAGGCTCTGATGCAGGTGCTGACTGTTTTGCCATGCGTTGAATAGTGTAAGGAACACATAAGTGAGGTGGGGGTGGGTGGGTTGCAAACATAGAGGGCACTCTGTTGTTTCCCTGACCCCCGCTATGTGCCAAGCATTAAGCTGAGTGCTTTATGCTTACCTGCAAAATATAGATCATTATCCCATGAGACAGGAGAAAATTGAGGCTCAGAAAAGCAGGGCTTGGGGTATATAGCTCAGTAGTTAAGCAACTTGTCTAGCGTTTGCAAGTTCATGGGTTTGATCCCTGGCACTACTACTTCTCCCCCCCAAAAAAGAAATGATGTGCTCACACTCATCAGCGGCAGAGCTGGGTGTGTTTCTTTTTTCACTTGCTTTCTCCTTCCTTTCTTCCTTCCCTGCCCCCTCTCTCCCTGCCTGTCTTCATTCCTTGCTTCCTGTCTGTTTTTCTGTCTTTCTGTCCATCCATCCATCTCTCCGTGCGTCCTTTCTTCCCTCCCTCCTTCCCTTCTTCCTACCCTCCCTCCATTCTTTCCTCCTTCCCTCCTTCCTTCTATCTTTGAAACCAGGTCTTGCTATGATGCACAGACTAATCTCAAACTCATGGGCTCAAGCAATCTTCCTGCCTCTCTGCCTCCCAGGTAGCTGGGATGATAGACATGAGCCACTATACCCCCTTCCACTGCATTCCTTCTTTCCGGGCCTAGGTGTCCTCTGTGTGAACCAGTATCCATTGCTTGGACCCTGTTCTATCCCACTACCTCCTCTTGGGGACTCATGAACATGAGGAAGAATTGGGTAGATGGAGGTGGGAGCCCAAGTCCTAGAGGTATCCTGTGGCCCAACCTGGTCTGCTCAGATAACCTTCTCCTGGAGACATGAGTCTTTTTCTTCCTTTCCTCCCCCTTCCCTTTCCTTTTTTTTTTTTTTTTTTTTTAAAAAAAAATACTGGGGATCAAACTCGGGACCTTGTGCTTGTGAGGCAGGCAGTGCCACCACTGAGCTAAATCCCCGCCATCTTTCTTTCCATGTGGCTTTCACTTAGCAGATACCCTTGGCCCTGGCCATGGCTCTGGTGCTGGCCTCTGGGCGAAGTGGAAGCCACATGAGTGTGTCTGCATGGGCCATAGTGGAACAGTTGGCGCTGTGCATGTAATGGTGATAGGGCCCAGAAACATTAGCTAGGTTCATTCTTCTGGGCCTTTTGGTCTTAGAACATGAGTGGCCATCAGCACTGGGAAGGATGGATCTTAGATCAGCTTTTTTGTGTATGTGGTAATGGGGGTTGAACCCGTGGTCTTCATTCACACTGAAACCACCACCACCACCTCTTTTATTGTATTGGGATTGAGCTACATTGCCAACCCCTTTTATTTTTTGAGATACGATCTCACTGAGTTACCCAGGCTGGGGTCAAACTTGAAATCCATCTACCTCAGCCTCCCAGAGTCCTGGGATTACAAGCATGTACTACCACATCTGGCTGGATCTTAGATCAGTTTTGACTTTTTTTTTTTTTTTTTTTTTTTAGAGTCTTGCTATGTAGTTCAGGCTGGCTTTGAACCTACTATTGTAGCCCATCCTGGCCTGAAATTTTCAGTGCTGATCCTCTTGCCTCAGCTTCCCAGTGCTGGAATTACAGGCATGTCCCACTACACCTGGCTTGACTGTTTTATAAATGGGGAAACTGATGCCTCAAGAAAGCCCAGACCCTACTTTACGTATCTAGGTCACATAGCCAACATCAGAACATCAGTGTTTGAGGTTGAACCAGGCCACAGAAGGAGAAGATTCCCATGGGCCATTTTTTGTACATGAACTTCCTTTGACCTCTCTCTGCCCTGCATCCTTCTGTTTTTCATCTCTGCCACGGGAATCCTTGAGCAGAGGAGCAATCTCAGGCACCAGACTATGGAATGCTGATGGGGTAGTTGGGGCTACAGACCAGGTCATACCACAGCTGCTTAACAGGTGGGTGGGACCTTTTTCCGGGTTTGTTTTTCTTCAATGGGGCCAGAGTTCTCACTGGCACAGGAGGGCAGTGGGGAGCAGACAAGGTTGCTGTCTCCTCCTGACATAACATTTACCCACATTTGGGTGGTTTGTTTTTAGGTTCCCTGAAGACACCACGCTTCCTTTTCTGTTTCTAGCAGAATTTGCTCTGGCTCTTCTGGCAGGCAGGCAAGTGGTAATATGGGGAGTAGGTGGTTCCCATGCTCCGCTAAAGCAAATGGGAGGACCCTATACTTGAAGCTCTTTAGAAAGAGAATTTGTCTCCTTTTTTTTCTTTTTTTCTTTTTGTGGTACTGGGGCTCAAACTCAGGACCTTGTGCTTGCCAGGCAGGCATGGAATACTAGTTATATTTTAGGTAACCTGGGAAGAAAGGACTTGCTCCCAGGCAGCAGGCTAGAGGCTGAAGGCAAATCTGTTAGTGCATTAGTCATACCCTGTCCCTCCTACCTTGGCAAAGGCTAGGAAGGAAATGGGGAGGTTCCTGAGTTTACACAGCGTCACATCTTATTCAGCCTTCGGCCTTTCCTGGTTGGTGGCAAGGGCAGTCTACTCACTGCATGCCAATAGTTCTCTGTTGTGGGTTTTTTTATTTGGGTATTTTATAAGAGAGCAACTTTGATACGCCCTGCTGGCTGTATGTGGGTACACATGCATATTTCTCCTCTGCTGGTGCACTTCTATGCTCAGGGAGGAAAGAAATGTGCTGTGTGTAGGTGGGTGGGGGTGGGGGTAAGGTTTGTACTGACCTCTGGCCTTAAGGAAGGGTAAAGCCCCTGACTGATACCTGTAATCTCTACCTAGTCCTAGGCTTTCCTGGGTTCCAGATGATTCCTGCTTGTGCTGGCCAGAACACTGAGGTAGACAGGATCAGGCCTAGCCCTAGGAAGTAAGGTGACTAAGGTGATAGCTGGCTTGGGTGAGGGGTGGCAATGTTACTTGGGGCCCAAAGTTACCCATTGAGAGCCTGGCTTCACCTTCAACCCCTCCACCCCAAATGTGTGATTTCGGGCCAGCTGTTCCATATTGCTGTGTCAGTGTCCCTTCTGGGTAAAGTAGGATTTGCCAGAGGTGGGGGGTTGTCTAATGAGTTGGAGTGTGAAAAGCCTTTGGCAGCCGGGCATGGTGGCGCACGCCTGTAATCCCAGCACTCGGGAGGCTGAGGCAGGAGGATTGCTTTGAGTTTGAGGCCAGCCTGGGCTACATAGTGAGTTCAAGGCCAGCCTAGACTACACAACAAGACCCTGTCGCAAAAAAACAAAACAAAGAAAGAATTTGATGGAACCAGTTATTGTATTGTACTAAGAATTTTTGTGCTCTGTTTGGGATGGGGACAGAGGCGGGGAGGAGACCCCTTCCAGCTGGACGCTGAGAGGGGGACAGCAGGTGCAGATGGCCAAATGCAGCGTCAGCAAGAGGAGGAGTTTCAGTTTCTGTCAAAACAAGTTCTCTGAATTCCCCTACCTCTGCAGGACCATTGTGTGTCTCTTCCCCACCTTAGGCCCATCACAGGGAAGTTTAGTCCAGCCTCAGCCCCATGTGCCAACCGTCTGAGAGAAGGAGGACTTCTGGAGAACAGAGTTGAAGCTAAGAAAGTCAGAAAAGCTAGCTGCCCTATGTTGGATGCTTTTCCTGCTTCCTACATTGAAAAAATCCTGATAATATGGTGTTTTTGAGACAGGGTCTTGCTGTGTACTTCAGACTGGCCTTGGACTCACTTTGTAGTCTAGACTGACCTCCAACTCACAGCAATCCTCCTGCCTCAGCTTTCCAAGTGCTGGGATGATAGTCCTGCACCACTAAGCGCTCTTGAGTATGACACTTAAGGGCCAGTTATGACACTTCTACAGTCAACACCACTTCTGGGGGACCCCCCGTTATAAACTGTACTCTCAAAAACAAAACAGAAAAACCCCACCTATTTGGAAAGAGTGTATTACTGATGTGATAAGAATTAAGTCGCTAAAGTTTTGAACAAAGAGCACAGAGGACCTTTGGATTCAGCAAGACAAAAGAGCCAGTCCTGCTTGCAAGAGGAGGGACAGCCTGCGCTCTGCATTTGGGGCTTTCCTTTGGCAGAGGAAGTGCAACAGAAATGAGGAAACACTTAATAGTGGTTCCAGAAGCATTCTGGCTGACTTGTAGGTAGCTTAGCAGTATGATAGAGTCATCGTCTTCATGACAAATGGAGCTCTCACTTGTAGTCTTGACAACAAACACCCCATTAGTGGATGAAGAGTTACGGTTCCTGCTTTAATGGGTAAGGACATTTCAGTTAAGGGAGGGTAAAGGCCTTGTCCAGTGTCACACAGCCAGCAAATGGCAGGGCTTTGCTGCCAAATGAAGGAGTCACTGGCATGGAAAAGGGGACGAGCTTCATGGCATTCTGCCCCAGCTCCCTTTCCCCTCCCCTTTTTAAAAAAAATTCCCTGCATCTGGCTCCCACTCCTGCCAGTGTTTGCTGACCCTTCCATAGGAAGTGTGTGTTCTCCAACACCTGAGCCTGGCTGTGGACCCTGTTTAACTCCTTCACTTCCGTCTCAGTTCCTGTTTACTGCAGCTGCAGACGGTACTGCCTGCTGGCACCCCAAGCTCAGCCTACAGAAATAGCTTCTCTAGCAGCCCTGGCAGCCACAGAAGGCTCTGTGGTCCTGGCTTCTAAGAAAGGCGGCAGCAGGGGGCCCCCAGCCTGTGTTCGGGACATGTGACTTGCTGGAAGTGCCTGGGGGGTGGCGGGAGTGTGTGGCCACAGAAGCCACATCCTTGTTTACATCGGTGAAGGGGCTACCCCTTCCTGCCTTTACAGCTGCACCCCCCACCCTCAAGCTCCTGCCATCTCCAGGGGGACTTGAGACAGGCAGTCAGGCTTTCTTTCTCAGAGTGGCCTTTGTCTCTAATTGCATGGAACCCTCTAGGGAGGGAAAGGGTGGATAGTGAAGGGCTTCTTTTGGCAGGTCTTCAGAGAGCTAGACTGCTTGGCAAGGAAGAACTCTGCAGTGTTCCCTTTGCGCCCTGACCCTGCCCTGGCACCCCAGGGAGATCCCATCAGAGCACTGGCCCTAGGGGGAACCAGAGGGAAATTCCCTCTTGGTAACAGCCAGTGGAAACCAGACTCGGTTTGGGCCACTTTAATTTCCTAGAGAGAAGTGCTCTGCAGACTGTCCCTGATTTCCTTTGCTGTATTGGGGCCTGAGCTGGGAGTGAGCCAAGGCATGATCTGCCCTGTGCTATGGGTCAGAAGTCTGCATACCTTTGAAAACTGCAGGGAAAGAGGTGTCTGGGGAGGGAGGGAGAGGAAGTGCTGAAAATTTGTGGCGGGCAGGGCTGGTAGTTGTGTGCTTATATTCCTGGTACTTGGAGAGACTGAGGCAGGAGGATTCCAAGTTTGAGCCCAGCCAGGGCAATTTAGTGGCTTGGTGAGATTCTGTCTCAAATAAAGGAATTGGGGATATAGGTCAGTGTGAAGGCCCTGAGTTCAATCCCTAGTATTACCAAAAAACAAACAGAGGTGGGGGACTGGGGTGTGGGTCAGTCAGTAGAGTGCTTACCTAGCATATTCCAGGTCCTGGTTTCACTCCTTAGTAACACACACACACTCAGAGTAACACACTGGTGCTTGAGAAGTAGGTACAGAAGAGAATGGAAACAGGGTCCTAAGCTGGGTGTGGTGGTACACGCCTGTAATCCCAGCACTGGGAAGGCTGAGGCCACAAGTTCGAGGGCAGTCTTGGCTATATAAGTGAGTTCAGGACCAACCTGAACTACATCATAGTTAGAAACCTGCCTAAAAATACCAAAAAAAAAAAGGTCCTAAAGAGAGAGAGCTGTATGTACGGCGATCCTCAAGCTGGCAGAGGGAGAATCTTAGTTCCTTCTCCTTAGTTTGACCAAATCCCATGGCACCTGGACCATTTGGGCCACAGGTTGCTTTTTCTGAATTAAGATGAATTTAGGTGCATGTGTGTTCTATCTCTTAACTAGACTGCATGCTCCTTGAAGGCAAGGATAGGATTTTACTCTTAGGCAGCACTACAGAGAAGGGAACCCTGATTTACCTAGTGACTCTCTGTCCCAAGCCCACTGCTAGTCACATTACATCTATTTTTTTTAGCCCTACAAGAGGCCTGCTAGTGCTAGCTCATTATCCATGTTGTTTCCATTTTACAGTTGAGATGTATAAGACTCGGAACACTTGAGTCACTTGCCCTTGGCCAGTAAGCACACTGGTATCTGGAGGAGCTGGACTTAGAGCTTTTCTTCTCCCCTCCCTCCAATTTCTTCCCCTCCCCTTCTCTCTCCTCTTTTTTTTATTTTTTTGATACCAGGAATCAAACTTAGGACCTTGTGCTTGCCAGGCAGATGCAGCACCACTGAGCTAACTCCCAGGCCCACTCCTCTCTTCTCTTTCCTTTCTTTGCCTTCCTGACTCATCCTTCCTTTTCTTTTTTCCTTGTTCTTTTATTTTCTTCTTTGGTGCTGAGGACTGAATCTAGGACCTCTTTGCTTAGTACATTCTACCCCTGAGCTGCACTCCTAGCTAGTCTTTTTTTTAAACATTAATTATTTGGGGTGGGGTTGAGACAGGATCTCACTATGTAGTGCAGACTGGCCTTGAACTCACTATATAGTTTAGGCGGTCCTCCTGCCTCAGCTTCCCGAGTGCTGGGATTAGAAGTGTGTGCCACCATACCTGCAAAGGCTATGCTGATTCCTGGGTGTGAGAAAAACTGAATCCCAGAGTTGACTTTGGCATAGATTGAGTCCTTCTGACCTTGGGCAAACCATGAAATTTCCCTCAGCTTCAGTCTGCTATGAGAGAATTGAGGAGTGTGAAATGGATCATGCCATTTGTTGGACTTGATTATCGATTTGTTTAATTGATTAGGTGTACCCTAAACAGTCATGTGCTTGAGAGACCTGTGATTGTATCAGTCTTGCCTGTATTCTCTTGGTCAGGATTGTCCTTGTCTGCCTTTTTCCATGACCCATTTCAGGTCACAAGGGCAAGGATTCTCCAGGCCTTGGGGTAGGAAAGGGGGTTTCCCTCATCCCCTAGCCTCCCCTCCCTGAAAGACATCCCATGACTCAGAACTCTTCTGTGGTGGCAGCTCTCACCCTAGCCTCTTCTCTCTTCTGTCCTCCTAGCTGACCAGGTATATGGAGACCAGGATATGCACGAAGTTGTGCGAAAGCACTGTATGGACTATCTGGTGAGACTCTGCTTTCGGGCTTGGGTCAAGGATGGGTTGAAGAATCTCCTTTTCATGTAAACTCTAACCTCCTGATCTGTTCTGCAGATGAAGAATGCTGACTACTTCTCCAACTACGTCACAGAGGACTTCACCACCTACATCAACCGGAAGCGGAAAAACAACTGCCACGGAAACCACATTGAGATGCAGGCCATGGCAGAGATGTACAACCGTCCTGTGGAGGTGTACCAGTACAGCACAGGTACTTCTGTAGTGGGTAGGAGTGGGATTAAGGGCGTCTTGTCTGAGCATGTCATACCTTCTCTCCTGTGGATGCTCCCTCCTTCTCTTTCTCTGCAGAACCTATCAACACATTCCATGGGATCCATCAAAATGAGGATGAACCCATCCGTGTCAGCTATCATCGGAATATCCACTACAACTCAGTGGTGAATCCTAACAAGGCCACCATTGGTGTGGGGCTGGGCCTGCCATCATTCAAACCAGGGGTAAGTGGGTCCCTGTGCCCAAGATGGCTGCTGGATATAGATAAAAACATCTAGGTACTTTGCCGCGTGTGGTAGTGCACACCTATAGTTCCAGCACTCAGGAAGCTGAGGCAGGATTGCTGCAAGTCCCAGGCCAGCCTGGACTACATATTGAGATCAAGGCCAGCCTGAACTGTATAGTAAGACCCTGTCTCAAAAACAAACAAACAAAATTAGGGAGTTAGCATAGATCATTGCTGAGGGCTCACTCTGTGGTCTCAGTTGGCTTGTCCATGAGTTGGCTCCTCTGTTTTTCTTGCCTACTTGGGCTGGCATTTTAGGATATGGAGTCCTGTTTGGGGACATTAATCCAGGGCTCAGCTTGGGTGTTTTGGTCTACATTCCTCCCAGCACCTATAAACAGCTAGGGTCAGAGACTTGGACTGGCTGTGGACCTTAGGATGCATTCTATTAACACTGGGTTACAGCTTGGCTAATGCAGAAAAGCACTTTGCACCAACCCTGGGAGTCTCATAGGTGTCAGAAGGTAGTGGTGCATTTTACCACGTCATGCTGGTTGATTCTCTTTCTACCCTACCCTGTGTGTCTCATCACTAGTAGTCAGCTGGGGAAGATTTTGAGGTCTATTCAGGTTTCACTTCCTACAAACAGAAAGTGCTCCTGCTTCATTTTAGGAAACACCCTAACACTAACACATTGTCCAACATAGGGGGATTTTTGTTTTCTTTTTTAATAAACTTAATTTTAGAAGTTTTAAATTTTCAGAATTACTGTGTGGATATTACTGTTTTCATATGCCCCAAAAGGATTAACATATTAGCTGAGTACATTTGTCATAATTAGTGAATGTTATCAATACAGTATTAACTAAAGACCACATCTGATTGAGTTACCTAATAACATTTTTCTGTTCCAGACTCGTATCCGGAATGCCACCTTACAGTTTTGTTATCCCCTTTGACTCTTTGTAGGTGGGACAGTTTCTCAGAATTTCCTTGTTTTTCTTTTTCTTTTTTTTGAGGGGTGGGGGGTGGTGGTTGAGACAGGGTCTCCTATGTAGTTCAGGCTGGTCTTGAACTCACTATGTAGCTCAGGTTGTCCTCAAACTCTCAGGGATCCTCCTGCCTCAGTCTCCTGAGTGCTGGGATTATAGGCATGTGCCAGCATGCAAGGCTTGTTATTTTTTCTTTTTGATGTTTACAAACTATGTTTGACCTTTCCTAGAATGTCATATAATTGTAATTATATAGTGTGTCTGTAGCTTTTTAATGTTTTTTCACTTTATGGATTTAAGATTCGTCCAAGACTTTCCCTAATTAAAAAATCTGAATGTTTTGAGTTTTTCTGATTAATTTAATTTAGAGCAGTTTTAGATTTACAGAACAATTGAGAAGAGAATACAGAGTTCACATCTAGTCCCCTCCCCCCTGCACAATTGGGCTATTGTTAACATCTCAGATGACTGGTACATTTGTTACAATGTGTAAACCAATATTGATACATTATTATTAACTGAAGTCAATGAGCCTCCTTTTCTGATAGTTTCTCACACTTTCCTTGTCGAGAGGACCTTGACATTTTTAAGGAGTACTGGTCCAGTGTATTGTGGGAAACTTCTCTTTTAGAATTTGTTGAGTGTTCTTTTTTTTTTTTTTTTTTAATGGTACCAAAGTTTTGATTAAACGTAGGGAAAGAAGCAGGCTCTGTGAGGTGATTTTGAGCCAAGTAAAAGTAGGAAAAGAAGAGTGAGGGCAGCCACCAAGCAAGAGTGAACACAGTGACCTTGTCCAGGGTTCTCAGGAGTACACTGGGAATGTGGGTTTGGAGAGGAAGATCATAGACATGACATTTTCATTCCATTATATCAGGAGTGCATGCCGGGTATGACGGTGTGTGTAATCCCAGCATCTGGAAGGCTGAGACAGCTTGGTTGGGCTACATTAGTAGTGAATTCAAGGCCAGTCTGAATTACAAAGTGAAACCCTGTCTCAAAAAAGAAACAAAAAAGAACACAGTGGGAATGTGATTATGACTGTTGATGTCCTTGATCACCTGGCAGCAATAGTGTTTGTTAGGTGTCTCCGTTTTAAAGTTATTCCATCTCACCTTTTCCATACTGTACTGTATGGAGGGGTGTAATATCTGCAGATTATTTGGAATTGTTCTGCAAGGGGGATTGGTGTCTTATCCCCCATTTATTAATTTATTTACTCACTTTGGGTTATAATCCCATCCTGTTTTTATTTTGTTGCTCAGATTGTTCCAACTTTTTTTCCCCACAGTATTAGGATCAAAATCAGGGCCTCATACATCCCTGGCAAGTGCTCTAGCACAGAGTTGGCTTTACCTTCAAGCCTCTGTTAACAACATTTTTTTATAAAGCACATCCTTATTTTTTAGTACTACAAGATGTTCCATGTTCACCTTGTGTATTCCTCCTCTTACTCCTTCATTCAACCATTTTTCCAAGGAGCTCTGGAGCCTTTTATTAGAGAGGGTTATTAGAGACTAAGGTGTAGGTGCTGAGTATGCTGTTTGCGTGCTACTAGAATGTCATTGTTTCCAGACCCTCTCAGCTAACAGCAAAGGGTTTCATGTGTGTGCACTAACCTGTGTGTAAACATATCTAAAGAAATTTGTATATGTAGCCAACTCAAATCCTTTACCACATGCATCATTCTAGCCTCCTGGTGTTCATCAGTAAATTCCCACGCCCCTGGTAAGAAACCTGGTTGCACCACCCCAGCATGCATTTACAGCTGCTGCTTGCAAAGCAAGGGCAGACTCATTAACCCATACCCCCTAGAGTCCAGTGATATGCACAGTTCTTTTGCCTTTAGTGTCACGGATTCCATTCATTTCCAAAGTGACTTTAAGTCTCCAACCCCCCTACCTGAAGTGCTTGCATACATTTGTAATTCATTTAGAGTCTTTTGTCTCTATCTGCTTTCCAGGAGGGATCTCTACCTCATAATGATCTTTTTTTTTTAAAAAAAGCAAAAAAACAGCATATATTAAGGTTCAGTCTTTGTTTTGTAAAGTTCCATGGGTTTTTACAAGTGCATAACAACATCATGTAACCACCATTACAGAATCCTTTCACCACCCTTAGAATTCTGTGTACTCCATGTGTTCACCTCTGCCTTCCGCCCTCCTCCTTCAGCCACTGATTTGTTAATTGACTTTGTGGTTTTGCCTTTTTTTTCCAGAATATCACATAATTGGAATCATACAGTGTGAACTCTTTTCAAACTGCTTTCACTTAGCAGTATGCATTAAAGGCTCCTTCTTGTGTTTTCATGCCTTGTTAGCTTGATTCTCTTATCGCTTATTGTTCATTTATGGAGGCACCAGTTTGTTTAACCATTTACCTATTGAAAGACATTCTTGGTTGATTTCAGCTTTTGATGATTAGGAATAAAACCTCTGGTAACTGCTGTGTGCAGGTTTTTGTGTGGACATAAGTTTTTAGATCAGTTGTGTAAATAACTCGGTGAGAGACTGTTAGATGTGAGGACCACGTTTTGATTTATAAGAAACTGCCGATCTGTCAAAGTGCTTGTACAGATTTGCATCTCCTCACCCTAATGCAGTGAATAAAAGTTCCTGTTGCCCCACACCTTTTTAGCAATTGATTTTGTCAGTGCTTTGGATTTTAGCCATTCTTTTAAATGTGTATTTGGTATCTTGTTTTTTTTGAGACAAGGTCTTTCTTTCCATGTAGTTCAGACTGGCCTTGAACTTAAATCCTCCTGCCTCGGATTCCCGAATGCTGGGATTATAGGAGTGTGCAACCATGCCCAGCTCATTGTCTTTATTTGTAATTTTCTAATGAAATCAAGCTGAGCATTTTTTAAAAAAGCAGTCATTGAGCTACATTCTCATACTGGGAACATCTTTACATATGCTATTTGCCATCTGTGTATCTTCTTTGTTGAATTGTGTGTTTTAGGTTGTTTGCCTTATTTTTTTTATGGTGCTGGAGATGGAACCTAGGGCCTCTCACACATTAGACAAGCAAGTGCTCTACCATTGAGCAACATTTCCAGTCTGTGTTTGCCCCTTTTTTTGGTACCGAGGGTTGGACTCAGGACCTTGTGCTTGCAAGGCAGGTGGCGGCTCCACCACTGAGCTAATCCCCAGCCCATTGCCTGTTTTTTAGTTGGCATGTTCTAATAGAAATTTACATACATTTTTTCTCCTTTTTTTGAGACAGGGTCTCACCACTATGTAGCCCAGGCTGGCCTGAAACTCATAGCAGTCCACCTGCCTCAGCCCTGAATGCTAAGATTACAAGCGTGTATCACCATGCCCAACTACATTTTTTTTCCACTGTGGAAAATTATAAATCATTATGCATTTGTGTGTGGTATGTGTCTATTAAAGTAGTAACTAAAGCTCTGTGCAGCAATATTTACACTTACTCTGTGCATTATACTCTGATATTTTGTTTCTTTTTTTTAAAAATGCTATCCTAGGGCCAGGGATTTAGCTCAGTGGTTTGGTGGCCTGCCTTGCAAGCGCAAGGACCCGAGTTCAATCCCTGGTACCTAAATAAATAAATAAATAAATAAATAAATAAATAAATAAATAAAAATGCTATCTTCTCTCACAGTCTGACACAGTACTGTCATACAATATAACTCATAGCTCCATATCATGGTCATACCGTCCCCTATTCCTTCCTACAACCACAGCTTCCCCGGTCGTATCTTCACTGTTCCCACCCCCACCCTGTGTCCACACAGCTCCCTTCTCCAGGCATCTACTCTCTGGCCTATCTGGATATACATGAGAAAAGCCTTGGCTCTGTGAAGCTGAGTCCTCGCTGGATGGGGCTTCTGGAAAGTCAGGCCTATGCTGGAGGGCCCCTGTTGACCTGGTCTTAACCTCAGCTCAAGCTTGTCTTGGGATTGGGTCAGGGCTTCTGAGTGGAGGGATTTGGAATGACAGGCCTTACATCCCAAGTTTGTTTCCCCCAGCTCCTTATAAATATGCAATCTGCCAAGAAGGGTGCTTGCTGAGAGTACCTGGCTTCCTGTCTCCTTGGCAGTTCCTGTGGGCCTAACTTCCTCAGCCTATTCTGGCTGTTGGACAGGTTCAGAGTGTCATTCCACATCCCTGTTCCTCTGCTCCCTTGCAGTTTGCAGAGCAGTCCCTGATGAAGAATGCCATAAAAACTTCAGAGGAATCATGGATTGAACAGCAAATGTTAGAAGACAAGAAACGGGCCACAGACTGGGAGGCCACGAATGAGGCCATAGAGGAGCAGGTGGCTCGTGAGTCCTACCTGCAGTGGCTAAGGGATCAGGAGAAACAGGCCCGCCAGGTCCGAGGCCCCAGCCAGGTGAGTCATAGGCTCTGCCACTGGCCTGGCCACAAACCCATTACTTCCTATGCTTTGCACCCAGATGGACAGGAGGAAAGTGAAGTGGTCCTGACACCCGGGAGAGAGGGAAGCCCTCAGCCCCATCTGTACAGGTCTTGGCCTTAGTTTGGCATTATGCCATAGAACACCCAACACTTACACAGAACAAGCTCTTATGGGGTGAGGGAGAGTGGCAACTGCTGCCAATAACACAAGGGAGCAATGAGTAGCTGCAGAGAGAAGATTTTGTTGAATGTCCTTGCGTTCCAGGCTCTGTGCTGAGAATATGAAATCACATCCAGCCTGTGCTGTCCTCGGTGATCCCATCCATTGAGGGAGACAGATAAGACCCATCAGCAGGGCCCGTGACCCTGGCTGGGAAGTGGGGGGGCTCTGGCCGTTTTTCATAGCAGAAGGTTGAATTGTTAGGGCAGGGAGGGCAGGGCAGACAGGCATCTGAGGAATCACAAGGAGTTTGGAGTGATTGTAGATGTTGTTGAGCTGAGTAATTTGTTCAACAAATATTTATTGCATGTAATCCCACTGTACCCTGGGAGGCTAAGGCGAGAGGATCACAAGTTAGAGTACAGTCTAGACGACTTACCAACTTAGTGAGACCCTGTCTCTAATAAATAAAGGATGGGGGGGTACAGCCTGGGGTTCAATCTCTAGTACCACACACACACACACATTATTGTCCTATGCCTGGGACACTCAAGTACAGTATAGTGAGATGTGTTTGATGAGCCTGGCAGGCCAAGTTCGCTGTTCTTGTGGTTATTTCATTTTTGTGGAGTGAAACAAAATAATCATAATGAATAAATTAGGAGTATAACAGATGCAATATGTAGAGCCAGGGTAGAATGCAGGAGTAGGGAGGGGTGAGCTGGGCAAAAGTTTGTGGTATTAGCAGTGTTGTCAGGGTGATCCTCAGCAGGCGAGGTAAGGCCCAGCATACTGGCAGTGATTCGGGCACAACCCCGAAGGAGTCACTCGAGGCCAAACAGGTGGAGTAGTTCATGGAGTTAGGGAGGTGTTCAGTCCAGGTGGGGTAGAGGATGATTGGGTGTGCTGAGGACTTTTACTGGAAATGTAGTGGAAACAATGAGCTCTGAGCAGAGGGAGGCTCAGATCGGAGTTAGGGTTTAGCAGAATCTCCCTGGGTGCTGAGTGCAAGACTGCAGTCTGGGATGGAGGAAGGAAGCAGGGCCTGGTGAACACATCGTCCAGGTGATGGTGATGGTGCTGGTGGTGGAGGGGTGAAAAGGGTTAGACTCAAGGTCTGTACTGAAGGGAGGAGGAACAGGTTTTTCTGTCAGTTGGTTTTAAGAATGGAAGAGGTAGGTTAAGAAGCTTAAACTGGGCCCTGTGATCCCCTATGTGAATGAGGACGGTGGTGGTGCATATGGACACTGTGTTGTTGGGGGGATCAGTGGGTGGGAGCAAACACTTGCTGCTGGGGCCCAGGAGGGTCATAGCTGGCACTGGCCTTTACCACTTTTCCCTTCCTTGTGGCAGCCCCGGAAAGCCAGCGCCACATGCAGTTCGGCCACAGCAGCAGCCTCCAGTGGCTTGGAGGAGTGGACTAGCCGTTCTCCACGGCAGCGGAGTTCAGCTTCTTCACCGGAGCACCCCGAGCTGCATGCTGAGCTGGGCATCAAGCCCCCTTCCCCAGGCACTGTCTTAGCTCTTGCCAAACCTCCTTCACCCTGTGCGCCAGGTCAGTGGCGTGCTCCAGGGACGAGTGACTGTAGTTAGGCCCTGCCTGGGTCCTGGGTCTGCCTCTGACTGTCTGTCTGTCCCAGGTACAAGCAGTCAGTTCTCGGCAGGGGCTGACCGGGCCACCTCCCCCCTTGTGTCCCTCTACCCTGCTCTGGAGTGCCGGGCCCTCATTCAGCAGATGTCCCCCTCTGCCTTCGGTAAGCTTCCTCTGGGGACAGGACAATTGGGCAAGGACGAGAAAACATAGCAAGTCCTGGGCCAGGGATTTAGCTCAGTCGTACCGCATCTGCCTGGCAAGTACAAGGCCCTGAGTTTGATCTCCGGTACCAAAAAGAAAACAGAAAACATAGCAAGTCCTAAGCCGGGGTTTCTGGAAACACTGGCCATCTCTCCAAAAATGTCAGAGGTGCTAGGAGGATTTTTCTAGCCCAAGTTGTTTGCCCTAGAAGGGGTGTAGTGGGGCTTCAGAAACCTGGAGAGCCTTCTCTTTAGAGAAAGGAGTGAGAAGGGCTGGATAGGATTTCTCCAGAGCCAAGCATCAGCACAGGTGAGTGCGGCTGGACTGAGGGCACCCCGTCATCCCTTTCCTCTTTTCTCCTGCCCAGCAGGTCTGAACGACTGGGATGATGATGAGATCCTAGCATCGGTGCTGGCAGTGTCGCAACAGGAATACCTAGACAGTATGAAGAAAAACAAAGTGCACAGAGACCCTCCCCCAGACAAGAGTTGATGGAAACCTGGGGACTGGATACAGTTCCCCAGTACCCCTTCCTGCCCTCCAGTGCCATCCCACCTTCTTTGGCTTTCTTCCTCTTGCCTCCTTCCCCTTTTCCCTTGACCAGTTCCCCCGCCCCACCGTCCTCTGGCTGGCCCATCCCTGAACTCCCCCGCCCCATCGCTGCCACAGCCACCCTTCTCCGCCAGCTGATGTGCCGTTGCCCCCCCCACAGCACCATCCCTGCATTCCACAGGGGACTCAAGCAAGGGTGCCAAAGGTAGGCGACAGGCACAGACCACCAGACAGCCAGGCCAGCCCCAGAGGAGATGCTTGGAAGAAAGTCTCCTGCCTGCCCTTCCTTCTGAGATCAGATCAACTTGTCGCCCCTCCCCTCACAATTATGTCAGGGAGTTGGGAAGAAGTGAAAAATTTTCTTTTCCCAGTGTCCCAAGAATGTCTGAGCCTTCAATGTTGAATTTTTCTTTATTAAAATGATGTGCTTTTATCTTATAAAATCAACCAATCAAGTGATGTAGACGACAGCATTGGCTCTGTGAAGGTGGCATCTCTCTGGTTTAGGGGCAGCAGGCTGGCCATGGGACATGGAGGGGCACACCGCTGTCTTCCAGCCTCCAGCTTGGAGGTGGGCACAGGGCCTAGGATGTGAGTCAGGTTGGGGAGCGGGGAGGGGGGTGGCAGGTGTCAGATGGCTTTGGACAATGAGACCCTGACCTTGCTGCATTCCTTTTGCTTCCACCACCACTAGTCTCTTTGGAATCTTGAGGTGAGGGCGCTTCAGGATCATGGCCGCCACTCAGGATGTGAGTGTAGGGAGTGAGAGCAGCCTTGGCAGATGGGGCATGCGTGCCCTGCAGGTGTTGACAAGACCCACCATCTGTAATATCCTTGGCACAATAAAACCAAATGTCAGTTTCCCTGAGTGGTTCTGTCC